CGAGCAAGCACAAGACGAAGTGCAGTGAATACCAGAAACCTCCGCAGTCTTGGCCGTCAGGTCCACGTCATAAGAGAAGACATCTTGTTTACCTGGTATGTTGTGAGTCGCGTAAGTTCGAATACCCTCCGTTAGTCACCCCCTCGTTGTATAGATAAAAATAGGCAAATTTCCAAAATCGGGTTATAATTCTGTTCTAAACTTTCGTTTATGTTAATAAATGTCCTTAAATTGGTTATATTTGACTCTGCATTCTTCTTCTTCAAAGGCTCATTCCTGGACTTCGGAGTGACTCTTACCTTCGCGCCTTAATCACCGATTTCATCTCAAACGGCGGTGTGTCCGATAAAACACACCTGGTCGCAGGACTTTACCCAAAAAAGTATGCAGTAAATCTTTACAGCCCCCGAACCCCACAAAAGGTTACAACACTAATTGTGCCATTTCGTACCGTTCGGGTATCGTGATAAACGTGACAATGGTAGGCTAAAAAACCAAACTTTTCATATGGTTTTCATTTTAATATTTATTGCATTATAGTATTTGATTTTTGTCATTCAATCCTACTGATGTTTAGATCTAACATTAAGCAGGCAAACACGAACAGTAACAAAAAAGAACTTTATTAGAAAAGGTTAGAACTGTCACAGACATCCTCGGGCAACACCCGGACAAAATCCAACGAACTTTCGCGCCTTTTCTTTTTTTGACGTTGCCAGCCACTCTTGTTGGCAAGTGTTGCCAGTCAGAGTTCGTGATCTTGGCAAGTGTTGCCAGACAGTGTTCAGGATCTCTGGCGCTGGCGGCCACAGATTTATGTAACTGCAAAGGTTATCCTAGGTTGTTCACTTGGTATGATAAACCCTTATCTAACACATTTTCAAAATTATTCCTCTAATATACAAAATTTAAAGAATTTTTAAAATGCGTGGCAATTGGTGTTTTAAACCGTTACGTAAGATAACATTCGTTGTTATATAAATCAAATACTATAATGTAATAGAAGGTTTAGAAGTACGAAAGAATCTGATATTTTTAACGTTTGTTGTTATTTTTGTCCGAGCAACTCCGAGTTTATCTGCTAGTTATACAAATAACTGGACATTGGCATTAAAAATCTGTTAGATCGACACGGTTTCTCATGTTTATGGTTGTCCCAAGATCCTCATTTGATCGAAAGATATTAAACATTAATTATAAAAGTGTGTTTCGACCAGAGCATACAAGAAGATTGGTCTTTGTTGAAAAAGAACAAGCATTTTCAATTAAATCGTATTTTTAAAACTTATTATTGACAACACTATGTCTTGTTTATAAAATCGTACTGCCCGATGTTCTTACCAGCATAGAGGTATGAAGGAGTACATGTCGAGATTTGATATTTGGCACAGAGTATTAGGTGCCCAAAATATTTGTGCATAAAATAATCCAGACTCGTAGATAGTCAGGGGACCGAGAATCGAGTCAAAATAAAATACAGAATGGCGACCCTCTTCTACGAACAGGCAAAACAGCAACCTCACCCCACCGAAGTCAGGTAGAGGAGAGTACCACCCATAAGAAGAAGAAGAGTATCACCCACTAAGAAGTGAACTCTGACCTTAGGACCGAACACGTAGTTTCTTCTATGTTAAATAAAATTTGTAATATAATTTTGTGAATTTGGGAGTGCTTCAAATATGACGTTAAAACGGTTTTATGTCGTTACAAATGGTTTTTCTAACATTATCTAGTATAGTAAAATCGTAGGATCGATAAAAATTTGACGTTATATTAGGGATGTCGTTACATTCGATGACATTATAATCGGGTTAAACTGTATATTGTTTGTGCAAAATAAAAAAATAATTTCGGACGGTACAATAGCCACGATTATTTTTTTCAAAAATGGGAAATTTCGTTACGCATCGACAAAAATTCAACCCGGGCCGACACGCAACGGACAGAAATTTTGAAATAAGATAGGTTAATTTCATCGAAGATACATCGTGGACGATCTCGTGGTCGTGGCCGGCGAAGTTTAAACGATCGCGCCCAAAAGCAGCGATTTGAGAATATGAACGAGACCTGCCTTGAGCATCAAAGTGCTTCCGTCTCGGAGACATAGTTTTGTCCCAAATACGGTTTTGCCGTTTTTACTTGTTTGTTTATGGACATAAGTCATGATGTAAAACGATTAATTTTACAGCTAAGATGTGATCAAAATTATATTATTACGCATAACAGTAAACTAATAATAGACCCTGAGAAAATTTGCAGTAACTGTAGTTTGCAAACGTATAAAACTTGGGAACATGTTAACTGTCCTGTACTAAGCTATTAAATTAATTTGATAAATTTTACTAATTTCAGATTTACATAATATGTATATAAATGATGATTATTGTGTTATTATCGGATAGACTGTGCCAATTGATGCATATTATGACAAGACTGTCATATTAAATATATACTGTATAAATTAATTTAAAATATTTATTTAAAAAACTTTTTATAGTTATAGTATAAAATGGCAAACAGCTTTAATTTTGAAGGTTTTATAAAAAATTGTAAATACTAATAACGAATAAAATCGTTATTAAGTTCGACCCTACTGAAGATACACACGACACCCTTTACTCCCCATTTCTTCGACCTGTAACCACCAAAATTTAATAGCATTAATCAACTTAATACACTAACGTCCCTGCAAAATTTCAGAAATTTTCGGAGTTATTAAGCTTCAAATAGGGTGAAGAAAAAATTGTGCCCCTTCACCAACATCCATTTATACAGAAAGTAGGCAACCCCCGAATTATTTTGCATTTCTCGAAGTTTCAGAATTTCCCGAGTCCAAAAATGTAAAAATATGGAGAAACATTTTTGCCGGATCGCCATTCTTTTCCTCTGTTATATATAACAGCCGGGAAAGTAAAAATTGATAAGTAATTGCATGTTTACTATTCTCGGGAAACAATGAAGCAATAAATTAATAAATTTTAATGAATTGAATTAAATAGAAACACGGAATTGTCTACGAATATAGTAATATGATAATTATAATACATTGAAATCAATTTGCGATAAAAACATTGAAATTAAAATATTTTTTTCGTGTAACACTCGAGGCTGGTTTGCGGAACACTGGTTAAGAACCACTGGTCTATCATATACTACTGTAATATTATTTAAATCTAAATTACGATCTAATGATTCGGTTGTATTGTGTGTAAATACATTTACACGTAATTCTATATTTATTCAAATATTACATGCATTTAGCTTAGTAATAAATTTTGAAATAATTCATGTAAATAATTCGACGTGTATAATTTCATTTCTTTCAGTACAGTTTCTGTTAAACATGATATTACCAATTCCGATTCAACAAAAATGTCCCTAAAACACCGAAAAGGTAGAAAAGGAGAAAATAGAACTGTGAAATCCGGATTTTATACCGATTTTTTCCCGATCAATGTCCCGATATTACCTAAAAAACGATTATGATTGACCTAAAATGATTGACTTCAATGAACAGTGTGGCTTAAATTTTCTTATTTCTTAATATTTTTTCATAAACATTTAATAAAAAACAGAACGACGCGCAAGTTCTGGACACGTACGGATCAACATCTGCATATAAATCAGTGATGCCGATCTTTTAAGCAGTTGGAAATTGTGTTGTGTTTCATTGTAAAGATCCTGCATTCACATTCCTATTGTGATGTTTATGTAAAGCTCCGACGGGGGAGGGGAATGTCGAGGGGTCGCTCAGAGAGTATGTGGGTGCGATGATCACTAAGACAGACTCTACGGTTTCGAGAAACCGTTTATTTGTCATCTTGAAAGCTGCAAGTCGCCACTCCTGGTCTTCCTCTCCGTTCCAAGATACAGTAGTCCCAAATGAAGTGTGTCCGGTTGGCGAATGACAGTTCTTTCGACGATTCCGGACGATACGGTCGACTTCCGGTGATGGGAAGATGTCGATTCGAGGACGGGAGACGGAGACGATGATGGACACGAAACACAACAATTGGTCCGACACTTGGAATTTCCAAGAAGAAAAAAATTTGCCAATCTTGCGAAGAAATCTATATCTATCTATATCTATATCTATATATATAAATGGACATGTATGCCCCTATATTTCACTTTTTCGCAAAAACTACACATCGCACGTGAATGGTGTTTGAATGTGGTAGTAGCCCCAAGTCTCTATTCGTGCATAGGGGTGGTTGCGTCTCGATAGCTATAAGGGTGCGGGAGATATGGGCTTGAAAGTGGCTGAAAGTGGTTTTCTATTTCGAATGTTTTGTTCAAATTTGTTCGAATTTGTTTGAATTAAATTCGAACATAAAATTCGAATATTTGTTCGATTATAGAACGATTGTAAACGTTCCAGAAATGTTGAAAATAGTTCGTTTGACCGGACGTGAACAGGAGACGTTCAGAAATATTGATAGAATCGGGACCAGGTCTCTAATTAGTCTGGAAACGGTGGACCTAATTCTTGCATTATGTGAAAACGGGTAAGATTGGCTATAATGTAATTATCTTAATCTTCAATATCGTTACTTTTTAAAAACCCAGCGAAGCGGGTCCTTGCAGCTAGTTTTAAAATAAAATAGAACTTCTTTCATTGTGTTGATGCAATGAATGTAGTGAAGAAAAAATTGTAGTGAGACAGCGACAGATTTTCGATATAAAATTTCCACCACGCGGATCGGGTTCACACATCATCTATGGAATGGCCACGTACAGTTTTTCAGAATTTCTTCTCGCATATAACGCATAAATAAGGGCCAAACCGCCTCTAAATAATGTTCTCGAGAAGCATTTCGCTAAATAAATCGCCCACGTCCTTCTTTGTGTTTACTTATCAAAAAACAAAACCAAAAAAATTAAAAAATTAAATTTCTTTTCATACGTAATTCTAAGCACGTTCTATGATTAGCGTGACTTAAGCACGTTTCTAATTGTTGCGTAAACAATAGACATTAATAATATATTTTCGGCTATTGTCGAAGCGTTTTTGTTCGATGCAAGATTATCGAATGCGATATTTGTTTTTGAAAATAAGTTTTATGAGTAAGTTAAACTACATTTTTATTGTATAATTATATTAACTGTTTACTAACGTGTCAAAAATGAAAATAAAAACATAAAATTAATAGTAATTTTCGACCAGATGTTTAAAAATCCGAATATAATGTTATAATGTTAACGGCGAATATATTCTTAGTGTCATTAACGATAAATAACAATTTATTATTTCGTTTCCTCATCTTATCCAATATCTCAATATTGAATTTCATTAAAACACCTACCGGGAATAACTCTTGAGTAAGCAATATTGAGTATCAATTATTAATTTTACGATTGTAACAATTTACACTTTCCACACAATTAATAATGTCAAATCGCAATGTAATATTTATACTTTGTAACAGAAATAAATTGACTTTTGTTTTATGCAATACGCTTCTTGTCTAGTCTTGTGTTCAAATATACGAGCACAAAGATGACTTTTCTTTTCCGCTAGACTTATTACACTATCAAACGTAGGACAAACTTCAGAAAGACTTTTTATTTATTTGATTATGCATTTCGGATAATTATGTCCCTTTTTTAACTCTTGTGTTACAAATGGATTATGAGAAATTGAAATACTGAAATTGAAATTGACTTTTGCTTAACTTTTAGTTTTATTTTTGTGGATTTTCAATGGAATAAATTTCTAAAATATGTTTCCACAATAAGAATTTCATCTGTTTATTTGATATAAACTGTATGTCATTTCCTATATTTTTCTCTTTCAATTCTTATATAATATTCTTATTAAATTCACGCGAAAAAACTTTTACGAATAGCTGTGTTTATTGCGTTTACTTTTATTCTCTAGGTGCTAATTATCAAATGGATTTAAATAATACAAGTGAACACCCGGCATGTGAAGAAGTTGGTGCGGAAGATGCTTTTATAAATATAGTAAATGCAATAATGCAAATGACATCCAATATAAATGCTGATTTTCCGGAACAAATTGAATTGTCTTCTTCTTGTGTAAGTTCAATTCAAAATAATTTAATAATTCTCATTATCTAAAGGTTTAAAACTGTTTTTTGTAAAGGTTCCTTCTCACCAGGTACTGGTTCAATATATATAAAAAATCGATTAACAATAAGTAAAATATTTTACTGGTCAAAGGTTTATTGTTAATCGGTTTAAAACTGAAAAACACAACACGAGAAATGCATAATCTTATGGAAAGTGTTGTTTGTAATGACTGCAAATTCTTTATTAATTAATAAATGATTTTTTCCGAGTAATAAAAAGAACATTTCGACTACTGTAAGATTATTCAATCAGAAATTAGAACTTTTCACTTTTTACAGGATTCCGATGACGAAGAGGAGGGTACTTTTTGGTTTTTGGAAAGTACTAATTGTGAAAATAGACCTTTGAAGAAAGAGTTTGTATTTTTAGAGGAGTATTCATTGGTGAAAAAAATAATATATGAACATAACGAAGAATCATCGAAAGACGTGGAGGTGTTGGCTAAAGGTGAGGTTAAAACAGATTATAAAGAATTATAAAATAATTTGTTAAAAATTATTAAGAAATCTTTTCACGTTAAACTCATTCTGTTTAAATTTATTTAAATTATAAAACTTAATATTAGTTATCCATTTGCAGTCTTTCACGTGTGTTGTATGTCGTAGTTTATTATATTCGAAACAATTCAGAAATAGATCATTCATTTCTAAAAAGATTCCATTTATTTCGTCAAAAACACTTTCGATAATGATTTTTGTTCCTGTTTGAGTAACAATTTCAACCGCCATTATATAAATATTCACCGGTAAACATGATTAATTAGGAGTAAACCAACAAATAAAATAATTGAAACAAACACAACCTTAACATTGACGAAATGATTCATTGTCTTGGCCACTTCTCGTATCAAATTTAATTGAAAATTAATTTATCATTCTTGAAAGTATATGTCGAGAAATTTCCAATAATTTTAATATAATTTAATGAACTTTATTTTTCCGGCTGTTATAATATTTGAATTGGGTCACATTTGACCTTGGAGGTTTTTGGAATGGTTGTGACACCTCCCTACAGAGAAGGTAAAGAAACGAAATATGTGTTTATGTACTCACGTGTATCTCGTTTAATATCTGTGGATAGGTAAATATTACAAGCCGAAATTTGCACGGTAACTTGTTTAATAAGAGACATCGTTAATTTATTAACGATGTCTCTTATTAAACTTACATAGTAATTATATTGTATTACCTCACTGTTTACACAATAATCCTACTTTCTGACTTCCTGTACAGGTTATATAGAAATATAGAGATGTATTTCTACATAAACTTATTAGCCTGATGCAATTTTTTATAATAAATGTGTTTGATATAAAATTATACGAAAGTAAAATTTTAAATGATTTTTGTAGAAAAGAATAAAATCAAAGAGATGACGGGAGAAAGTAAACAGTCAGAAAAATTAATTCGACTGGATAAAAAAAGAAACACTAACGGCAGATTTCCATACAAAAGTGAATCGGATGATGATGATGATAAAGTAAGTTTCTCGCAAAATTTGAATTCCAATATTATTTTGGTATTTTAAGACTCGTTTTCTCTCTTGTATTCACAATGATTCTATACATTTTAAATGATTGCATGAAATCATTCCGGTTATAAAGTTTATGTTCGAAATTTCAAACTATAATGAGTATATGAAATTTGTAAATATTACTTTGAGAATAACCAAAGTTTCCAAAAGACAAATGAAGATATTCAATTATTGAAGAATTTTGTGTTACGAGCGAACACTTCATCATTTGTGCTTGTCGTTGATAAAATCCATTTAGTTTGATTAAAGTCTTTTTCTAAATGTCCAACATCTAAATTTACTTTTCATATTTATCCATTTTTATAAAATCAACAGACGACAACTCGTGTCTTCTTAATAGGAAATTTTCAATTCATACAAAACATATTCTTTTTCAGTATTTATTGTAATTATACAGGCAATACTTTCGTTATATTATTTTTTAACAAACATTGTAATTTGAACTTGCGGATAATTTAATTTTCATATTTTATTTACGAAATATTTTTATTATTTGCAGGAAACAAACAAATGTTTCGATGTTTTTGCGGAATATTTCCGCAGAATTCCGTCTATCATCTGTGCTTGTTTTAAAAGAAAAAAGTAAAACGGCGGAATGTAGAAGATTGTGCATATTTTAAACGTCACATTCCGTTCAGTTAAAAAAAAAAATGTTATATTTTACTTTTCATCTATTTAATATTATTAGAATTTATCGTTTCTATAATTATAACAAAGGCACATTACAAAATTTATTACGCAAAATATCTGGTGTGCAACTTTATTCGGCAGACGCCATCGTATCATCTGCTCTGTACTTTCGGCCTAATTAGCGAAAAAAATTTTCTACTGCATTCGTGCATTTTTCGATTCAAATTTTATGGAAAAATGAAATGAAAGGTTAACAAAATTAAATCAAGTATAAATGGAATTTCTAACATAACCAATTTCAGAAATCTATAAATTACATTTTTAAAAAGATTTATAAAAATGTCAAGGCGTTCCTTCGGGGAGACGTCATCAAAATTCTCGTCTCTACGAGGAAAGAAAGAAAAAAATACGAAGGGTTCCTTCGTGGAGACGTCATCAAAATGCTCGTCTCTACGAGGAAAGAAAGAAAAAGATAGCATGAAGAATTGACGAGGGGTTCCTTCGGGGAGACGTCATCAAAATGCTCGTCTCTACGAGGAAAGAAAGAAAAAGATAGCATGAAGAATTGACGAGGGGTTCCTTCGGGGAGACGTCATCAAAATGCTCGTCTCTACGAGGAAAGAAAGAAAAAGATATCATGAAGAATTGACGAGGGGTTCCTTCGGGGAAACGTCATTAAAATGCTCGTTTCTACGAGGAAAGAAACAAAAAGATATGAAGAATTGACGTCAGGTTCTTTCGGGGAGACGTCATTAAATGCTCGTCTCTACAAGGGAAGAAAGCAAGAAAATGACCATTGGAATAGTAAAACAGAAATCTGTTCGCCTTCGTGAATATTTCGTTTAAGTAAAAAAGTAATGAGTGTGACTTAACAAATGCTGTTACTAGTGAAGAAAAAAGCTTCATATTAATGAAATTTTTAAGGCCTCAGCAAAGTGTTTTCGTTTCTATAAATCAAACAGAGTTTTACTTCAATTTGTTCAAACAATAAAATATGTGTTTAAAATTGAAAAATCCAATTGGAATGCACACCGTTTAACATCTATTTATATGTTTTTCTCTAGGAAAATGTTATATCATAAGTTTATTATTATTATTCTTAAAAATAATTAGCTTGATTGCAACTAAAAGTCGTTAATTTTTGTGTTGCGTTTTTTAAACAATAAATTAATGTGCCTTTCAAGTGTTTATTGTTTAATTTATTATAAAGTGTATCCGAAAAATTTTTAAATTCATTCCACGAAATATAAACAAACAGAGATAGACACTTGCTTGTATACAAATGTAATAATAATTTCAGTTATTCGGATGTGTATAGCTAACGAAATAGATCGTAATATGACAGTTGAAATGTGTTTAATAATATTGTAATATATTTTTTGTATACTAGTTTACGCACACATTAAACACATTGAATAATACGTAGACATTAGTGTACACTAAAATATAAAAAAGTAAATTTGTATAATTAATACGAGCAATCTATTTATTAAAGAAAAAGCCGTCACTCATCGATCGATAAGGAAATTTTAGAACAATTTACAAAAATGCACAAACCTTCTGTTGGAACCGGGTGTTGTGTAGCGTATTTCTACACAGTTAAGATATTGCCATACACGAGCGTGCACGTTTACATTCGACGAATTGCGTGGGAAAAGCAATATTTTGTCGTAACTCTGGCTGATTCTTTAACTCATTTGTGTTAAAAATGAGTAAAAAAGACCTCTAGCAATGGCCAGCACAATTATTAAATAAATAAATACATTTTAAAATTTGCCAGGACGAATTCACATATAGAAAAATTACATTTCCTTTCGGACGATACATATAATTGAGTCTATTTTCATTTGTCCCTTTATACGCAATTTTTAAATGTTCTTTCTATGTTTAAAGACGCAATTTTTATTATTTTTTGTTTTTCAAAATTTCGCTCACTTCAATACACGAAGAAAATATCGAATAAAGTCTACTTATTTCCTGAAAATAACGGTATTTTATTAATATTATTCATTCCTGGCGTATATTTACACGATTAGAAAATTATGACAAATTACTCTTATCGGGAAATTCTGTTTTATGTAGAAGAATTATGTATAAACGATTGTTTTTTGTTTATTTACAGTTAACAGCTACAACATTTTAGATAATTACAGTGTTTATATTATTAACTATTCATTGGTTCACTATTATAAATGAATCGTGAGTCCACCAGTGGTCAAATAGGTAAAATCTCTGAACAGTGGTCTTGTCGTGGGTTCGCACCTCGCCAAGTGTTGTTTTCCGAGTCTTCTTCACGTCGTCGTTATTGCAACGCCTAATTCACCCATATCGTGCACCTTAGTATGCTGATGGAATACACGATTGTCTTTCTGAAAGACAAAGTCATCGAAAATGACTTCTATTGCATATTCGACATGTGGCATTGTCTAAATTGCTAGTCGCAATTTTGACAATCAACGTCGTCTGCCATGTGAAATATCACAAGAAAATCTTCACAGGTGTGTTTTAAATTTGCAGATTTCCTGTTTCTTTTCGTGTCTGGCATGAACGACTCAATTTAAATATTTGTAAGTTACAAGACATTAATCTCGATGATTAATTTGTAATAACCTGTATTGTTACAGTCGACCCCCTATAATTACGGTCCCTATAATTACGATTCCTATAAAACTGCGAAAAAATTGCTACCGGTATTAGTAAAAAATAGTAAAAGTTCCCTATAAACACCTCAAACGTCATCGGACAGCCGAACTACTTTCCTGCCGTCCGTAGCGCCACGCTACGGAGAGATTTCTATCGTCTGGACAGTGTTATATAAATTATATATAAATTAGGTACTGTACATATAATTATATATTAATTATATATAAATTAGGTACTGTATATATAATTATATATTAACTTATTGTAACTTTGTTATAATTAAATATATAATTTCCGCCGTCTAGCGTGGCGCCACGCTACGGAGATTTTTACGCTAACTATCGTCTGTCAGTATGTAAATTAGGTACCGTAAGTCTAATACAGTACTGTAATTTTATACATTTCTTGTGAAAGAAACATTTCTTATTCAACGGCGATTAAAATTATTTATATTAATGATGTCTCCGAAGTTCTACGAAGTTTTCACAGAAAAATAAGTTGTTAGAAATCGGCCGCTCTTTGCTGAGCTGTTCCGCGACGAAAACAATGTTGAGCAATGGCAATGTCGAATGGTGACACTCGGTAAGTAATCCTACAATTTTTTGTTTATAGCGTAGTTTATACGGATTATTCCCAAAAAATATATACGTATTTTGGAAATGTTGAGTCGGATTAGTCTAGAATCGATTAATTTTATGGAAGAAAACCTTTCAATCAGCCGTAGTCCGTAAACTTTACACGTGTCGGGCTGTGATTGGAACGACTCGTAAGAAATCGGATTCCTAAAAAATGGAACGTATCTAGGTTTTATAGGGGGGTCGACTGTACTTCTTCGTGCTTTGATGTCGCAGTTAGATTCATTATCTTTCCTGATACTTTTTACAATGGTATTAAAACCGGCCTTTTTCACTCGATTATTTTCTGGTTTGGACTTACTATTTTTATTCCATTTCAATTTTTTCTACTTACCATTTAGCTTTTCAATTATAAACTCGATCGTGGTTATTCCATGTTCAACATTCGAGAATATTTATAACTACATTTCTAAACACCTTTCTGTGAATTTTAGAATTAATAGTACTGTACACACTTCAAACAAGAAGAATTTTAGTTTACTTTCAAGTTTATTTCTATATGGCAACGTGAAACTTTGGGATTTGTCAGGGAGGATGCCTCCCTGGAAATCTTTTCTGGTTAACTGATTTCTATTCAAAAGAAACTCCAGAAAACTCCCCTGGCCAGATGTCGGTGAGGCCGAAACCCGCAACTAAATTGTATCAAAGTAAAAGGTTTTACTTTAATAAACATGAAATAATTTTCATGTATGAAATTTGATCAGGTCATGCACTGGTTCTGTCTTCTTTAAAAGAATAAATTAAAGAAAAAGAGAAAGATTAATTTTATATATTAGACCTACCGTATAAATGTAATGTGTAGAAATGACTGTAACATAGATTTATAGCCAAAACATTGTGGAATTTTTAGATATACTTATTCTAACCGTTATTAACTCTCATAGTTCTATAGAAGTCCTCTTATGTTTTATTTTATTTATAATTCCATCTCATAATCTTTACAATATTAATTTTTTATAGAATAATTCATTTTTATGCAATGTGTCTGTTTATAAATCTATTTTATTTTCACTTTTAATTAACAAATAATTTATAATTATGAATAGAAAACACAAGCATTGTACAGATGTACAGTACTGTATTTTATAAACCACACTCGCTACATTTCATTTTATTTAATGTATAATGGTATAACGAGTTCAACTACGTTCACAGTACGATAAACAAACGATAAGGCTTCTAACTACGACCCGAAACTGACAAATGCAGATGCCGCTGTTGGAGCATAATTTAGAATTAATATTTATTTGGGAGCTATACTCTTGTCTCGGATGCCAGGTTTACAACTAATAACCGTTTAATTGCACAGAAAAGAGATATGATAGAACCTTCGGAAGGTATTAAATTAATTGATGTGTATCGTAAGTGGTTGCGAGAGAGAGAGAGAGAGAGAATTTACATAAGATTCGCGTGGAGATAAATACAGTCGACCCCCCTATAACTCGGTAGATACATTTCACTTTATAAGAATTTCACGTTGTAGAAATCCTTAAATACATGAGCCAATCACAGCTTGGCAAGTGTGCAGTTTACGGACTACAGCTATTTGAAAGGTTTTCTTCCATAAAATTAATCGATTCTAGACTAATTCGACTCAACATTTCCAAAACACGTATAATTTTTTTGGGAATAATCCATATAAACTATGCTATATACAAAAAATTGTAGGATTACTTACAGAGAGTGCACCGTTCGACCACGCCATTGCTTAAGCTTGTTTTCGTCGCGTAGCAACGCACCAAACGGCGGACGCGTTTTCTGATAAGTTATTTTTCTGCGAAAAATTCGTTGAACTTTGGAAACATCATTAAACGAAATATTTTTATGGCCGTTGAATAAGAAATCTTTTTTCACAAGAAATGTATAAAATTGCAGTACTGTATTAGACTTACAGTATCTAATTTATATACTGTACAGACGATAGTAAACTCAACTTACCTGCCTAAACTCTCCGTAGGGTGTAAGTAGTTCGGCTGCTCGTCCACTATTCGTCCAGATTTGACCAATCCTGTCGCGACACTCGTCGGCGATGACGTTTTACCGCATTTTACGAGTCTCTTTAAGCGTCTTTATACGAATACGGTCGCAATTTTTTTGCCGCGATATACGAATCAGCATTATATGAACCCGCGTTATAGAGGGGTCATTCTAAATATTGGTGAAAGACAAAAATTCTTTCACCAATATTTAGAATGAAACCTCAGGGTGGACATAGGCTGTATATTATTTCGTTAAACATCCATATAAATTAAAAGATATAATCTAGGTTAATGCTTTTACGTCCAACAGATGGCGCTACGAGTATGACGCCCTAAGTTTGCTTTTCTATGAGGCATTACGCTTTTCTGTGAAAATGAACTAAAGCGGATCATCTTCTATCTATCTATATAAATAAAAATGTAATGTTCGTTTTTTCCTACCGATTCCTTTGAAATTTTGACACAACGCTGCATTCGAATACGCACGTGTTTTTATATAATATACGTGTCGAAATTCCTCCCACTGAAGGGAGATGGTTAGGATTAAGGCTTACCGTAAAGAACTCTATTTATCTTCTATTTATACTATTTTAGATGCGGTTTTTTGCGTTTTTGATTGCGTTTTAATAGGGTACGTCANCGGCAAATTTAAATTTTAGCCAGTGCTGTGGCGCTTTAATCTTTGGCTATGTCTTGGGCTACTCAAATATTTTACGTTTTTGATACTAAATTAACATCTGAAGTATAATTTTTTATTATTTTTATATTTTTCAATATATTTATTTTGTTTGTACAAAATAAAAAAACAATTTTAACGATACAATAGTTTTTGTTAGGCTTAACATCGACGAAAATTCAACGCGAAGCGACACGCAACGGAGAAAAATTTCGAAATCGGATACGTTAAACTATTTTTTCGTACGTAAATCAGTTATCCGAAATATCAGTTATCCGGACAACCCCAGTCCCCAATTGATTCGGAAAATCGACGCTCTACTGTATTATAACGAAATCATTTACTTGTATCCAAATATTTTTTTACTTTATATATATATAATACACATACACACACAGTGGAATCTGCCAATGTGATCACGTTGGTGACACGACCACCTTCCTATAGTGACCAGTTTTATTTGACCCGAAATTCACTCGATAGATTTTAGGTATATTTTTTCCCTCTGTATAGCAATCACTTGCTTATTGTGTAATGCGACCACTGTTAGATCTGGTTTTCCTGAAATGTAACCTGTTAATTTGATTACTTTATAGAAAAAAGACGTGTTTGTATTTTCATATAAAATTTCAAATTATATATCTGCAAGGACTTTAACTAAGTACGAGTTTATTAAACACTTACCAATCAAATAACTCGTCATAAATAAGCTTTTTCCAAAATCATAAAAAGAAGTTCATTAAAAATAATTTTCTAAAAAATTAGTTTATTACTATAAATAAATAATGAAGACAGCGAGAATTAATAATTTGTCATTAAGACAATTAACATTTCTTCAGGCATTGACAGATTTGCTCTTGCAATCTGGTTGGACTGCAATTTGAAACAATTGTAGACCCATAAATTCCCACTGTCGTCCATCCTCCATTAGATGAAGATATGGAAGCCCCGATTAACTATATACAAACTTGCGGTCTATAGAAGAAGTTACGTGATTTTAATTCAAAAAATAAAATTGTGTATGGCGCCAGTTCTTATCAGATTTTCATATATAAAAAGTTTTTATATTTTTAATTACTATAAAGTGGCAAAAAAGGGTTAATTTTGAGGGTAGGATGTATTAAAGTAAACGAGCAATTAGGAACTCTAACAGTTTAATTATTTCAATCTAATGTGAATTAAGTGTTGATTAATTCACATTAGATCGGTAAAACCAGGTCGGCTACAATATTAATTCTCTAGAACACCTTTTCTCGTGCTCTATTTTCTATAATTGACATCTTTTATAATTTATAATTTTTCTTAAAAGTTTTTACATTTTATCACATTGCCAAATTATACGATAACACCCAGTTCTATCTCTCCATCCTCTCGACCTTTCGCTGCCAAAACTTAACAGCATCAATGTTCCTCATATGCAAACTACCATGCCAAATGTCGTTTCTTAATGTTCTTTATTTTGAGATATTATACAAAATAGATGCCATCACACACGTCAATCGAATTATTTTGCCATTTTTTTTGACTGTTTTGAATTCAGGAAATCTGAAAACCCCGAAAACTCCGAGAGAAATTTGACACGATTCCAACACTCCCTTGTTATGTGTACTGTACGTACATAACAGTCTAAAAAGTAGAATAGAATGTTTTATTATTATTATATATTATTGCAAAACAGCTAATTTGGATAAACAGGTTGGAATTAAGATATGTTTATATAATAACAACAATATACCTGTACTTTCATTTATTTTTAGTAATGTTGTGTTATATTTTAGAAAATTTAAATAGGAATTTGTATTACATACATACACACACACAGATCGATTTTTAAATTATTTTTTTGAGTCCGGAGGTCTTAAAACTTCGAGATTTGCAAAATCTCCGGAGGATAAAATTCGTCACAATTACAATACTTTTCGGGTTATGTTATAACAATCGAGAAAGTAATAGAACTTTACTCTTGCTGTTTGTTAAAGTATAGAAAATTAATGTCAACAATCATAATCATCAAAATCATAATACTCAGAATTATTAAATTAAACAAAAGTAATACAATATAATATTAAATAATCAACAAAATCCTTTATTATAAACACAGCAGCGGTGATTTAAACATTATTTAATATGGATCTGAGGTATTTTATTACCGTAAGCTCTCTATTTGTCTGCATTATGGCAAGCAATTCTCATTGTAAAGACAGCCATAATGATAACGATAAATCTGAAAGAAGATACGATAAGTATGAGTTTTCGATCTTTAAATATTTCTATTTAATGCAAATGGATTACAAATCATTTTAAATTAATTAGTTTTACTGTCCTTCGCATAACTCCTTTAACTGAGGGACATGTTCGACTTCTCGTGAAATTCGAAGAAGATTTAGAAGTAAGTTTTATTGTAATTTAAAAGAAAATTATCTTTAAACGATTATTTTATATGAAATTTTCTATTAGTCTAAACACAGTTTTTATCTTTGATATTCTTCCCTCTCGTGTGTAATAATATTCTTTGTTTTCTTGTTGTATCACTTTGGTTTAAAACATTTTGTTGTTTTCTATTTATCAGTTAGACTTTTGGACTAAACCGAGTAGCATTAATAAATCATTCGATGTGATGATTCCTCCTGAAAAAATTAACCGAATGATAAATATATTGAGAGAAAATGATATAAATTTCTATACTCTTAATGATGACATACAAAAGTAAGTTATTCGAACAAATTTTATATAAATAGGTTTTCATTTTTAATAGTTAAGATATATAAAATATCAAAATTTATAATTGCATATTAATTAATAAAGAAAAAGAAGATTTAAATGGTAATTATTTTGATTCAAGCGATCCCAGAAAAGATTTCTTATGGTTCTTTTTTCTTCGATATTATAGAACTAAAAAGGTAAATTATGATAAAAATTTATAGACCTATTCGTAAACATTGTTTGTTTTACAATCAATTATAAACTAAACACAGTATAGTGCATGATGCTACAGTGGGAAGATCGACTGTGATCGAAATAAATGATCTTCATACTAACTAAATAGAGAGTGATTAATAATGCACTAAACAAATCGAAAGCATGGCAGTCATGAACTATCAATAGTATCTGAGCTAGCCCTGTTCTCTCTAGGGCCGTCGAGCGCCTGTATGGGGCCGGGAGCATAGTGCACACCTCTATGACTTTTTTCAACAAATGAAACACAGTAATAAAATGCGCTTTAAAGATTTAGTTTTTGTTGGTAAAAACAACATTACTTTAAAGAGAGAGTAATCATTACGGGTCTTTAAGTTAGTCCAGGCTAGAAACCCTCTTTGATCCCCCTCTCGATCATCCTCCCTCCGTCTTCCGCGCAATAAAAAATCCCTCTGTGTGTACTGGTGCAGAATTTTGCGCCTAAATTTTACGTGCGAAAATCTCTCCACGTGTTTCCAGCTTAAAATAGAGTGTAATTTTTCGAATTGGAGTGTAGGTCGTGTTGGTGTATGTGGAGTTCATTGTCAACGATGACGATAATAATGACGTCATAAAGGTTGTGTCAATCCTGACAGGGCACTAAGGAGGTGCCGACCCGAAAGGTCACACATGCGATTTCGAGGAAGCTGGAAACAGTATGCTTTGTATTAAACGGCATAATATAGGCTAATTATTATTAAATTCACAGGACCAAGACACATTTTGTATCACATATTAACAGATATCATGTTCATAACCAAACTCGTTAAAATTGAAATGTCCTAGAAAGTTAAATATTAATTTAAAACTTTCGATAGATTTATGAATTTTTGAGAAAATTACAAAAAGAATATGTGTCGATGATGTCTGTGCATAATATTGGAAAAACCTATCAGAATAGAAACTTAAAACTTGTTAAGGTGAGTTTATTTACATGTTTATTAACAATACAATCATTGCAATTTATTTAATGACCACTTTTTATTTAAATTTAAGTTAGGAATTGGCTCAAATAATAAGAAACCTATTATATGGATAGATGGAGGATTCCACGCAAGAGAACGAAGAGCACCGATTACAGCTCTATACCTCATATATAAAGTATTTATTATTTAATTATTATAATCTTTTTTAAATGCATAATTTTTATAATCATTAACATTTTTTTAAGCTTGTAAATGGATACGGAATAAATAATAACGTAACACACATAATGAATATTTTCGATGGATACATCATGCCACTCGTCAATCCTGACGGTTACGAATATACTTTTAAAGTAGTAAGTATTAATAAATTTTTAATTACATAAAAATATTAATTTTATAAGTAATCATTGATATATAAAAAATATAATTTTTCAAATAGCGTATGTGGCGAAAAAATCACTCCAAGAGTGCCGTTCATTGCGAAGGGGTAGACTTGAATAGAAACTTTCCTTACAAATGAAACAATTCATACGGTAATAAAAAATTCAATTTATAAAATATAGAACTACATACATATTTTTAATTAATTTAATTTTGCAGTATCATCTTCGGACAGTAACTCGCATAGTGAAGAATATATAGGACCATACCCTCTCTCAGAAAATGAAACTAAAGCAATATCTGGTATATTATCAATGAAGAAAGACTATGTTAAAATGTATATATCGCTGCATTCATTTGGCCAATATATATTGTTCCTTTGGGCTCATGATCCACATAATGACATAACTGAATATGAAGATTTGGTAAATAGTAGTAATTATTACTGTACAGTTATTTAGATAACAGAGACAATTATAATATCAACTATTACTTATTACTATAACTTAGAATAATTAAAATTCTAATTTCATTTAAGAAAATAATAGGAGAAAATGTCGCAGAAGAAATTAGAAAATTATCCGGAACCGAATATAAAGTGGGCCCTTTTTCTAAAGTTCTTTGTAAGTATTAAAAAATTTAAAACATTTTTTTGCTATTTGAGACCTATTTAATAATGAAGTTATTACGATTTTATTATATAAAAATTACAATGATCTTCGATTGCATTTTTTTACGCGAACGATTAATCAATAATTTATTTCATCAGTTGAAAGTAAAAAACATAGAAAAATTTCTGACTTGAAGTAAATTTTAATAGCGCAAATAATAATAATAATAATAATTATAATTATTATGTATAATATAATTTGTTTGTATATATAATAACTTTTTAACGTATAATAGATTGACGTAATAGCACAATTTAATAATTGTACTATTATGTCAGTTTTGTTCCTTTTCATTTATTTAACTAAATATCAAACTCAGCATTTTAAAAACACTTAATAAAACATTAATTAAACACCTTCCATCACTGAGAAATGTTTATTTAATAAAATACGTTAGAACTCATTTACACCTGAGGATGGTCTATTCCATGACGCTGAAAACATTAGTGTTTTATTAAATAAACATTTCTCAGCGATGGAAGGTGTTTAATGTTTTATTAAGTGTCATTTATTTATCCATAAACTTGGTTTTGGGTTTAAATAAAAGCTTTTTCATTCTTATAATACAATTCATATAGAAAATTATGAAATCGAACTCGAAGGTTTACATTTTTAAATAAAAAGAAAACATTCGACCTCACAGCGATTCGATCTAGCGCTTGCGAGTACTTTGCAAATATTAGGTTTATTCCAACACAAGTCCCTAACTGGTTTAGAACTGGCATCCGCATGCTTCGGTATTAGGCCTACATCCTAATTTTAAAATGTCCGGGTCATCAATTTTGAAAAGGTAACAACACTGATTGTGCCATTTCGTAGGTTCGTGTATCGTGATAAACGTGACAATGGTAGGCTAAAAACCCAAACTTTTCATATGGTTTTCATTTTAATATTTATTACATTTTAAAGAATTTTTAAAATGCGTGGCAATTGGTGTTTTAAATCGTTACGTAAGATAACATTCGTTGTTATATAAATCCAATACTATACTATAATAGAAGGTTTAGAAGTACGAAAGAATCTAATATTCTTAATTAACGTTTGTTGTTATTTTTTGTCGGAGCAACTCCGGGTTTATCTGCTAGTTATACAAATAACTGGACATTGGCATTAAAAAATCTGTTAGATCGACACGGTTTCTCATTTCTATGGTTGTCCCAAGGTCCTCATTTGATCGAAAGATATCAAACATTAATTATAAAAGTGTGTTGCGACCAGAGCATACAAGAAGATTGGTCTTTGTTGAAAAAGAACAAGCATTTTCAATTAAATCGTATTTTGAAAACTTATTATTGACAACACTATGTCTTGTTTATAAAATCGTACTGCCCGATGTTCTTACCAGCATAGAGGTATGAAGGAGTACATGTCGAGAGTTGATATTTGGCACATAGTATTAGGTGCCCAAATCATTTGTGCATAAAATAATCCAGACTCGTAGATAGTCAGGGGACCGAGAATCGAGTCAAAATAAAATACAGAATGGCGACCCTCTTCTACGAACAGGCAAAACAGCGACCTCACCCCACCGAAGTCAGGTAGGGGAGAGTACCACCTGCAGTCATTTTAAGAAGTTAACTCTGACCTTAGTTTTTTCTGTTAAATAAAATTTCTAATCTAATTTTGTAAATTTGGGAGTGTTTCAAATATGACGTTAAAACGGTTTTATGTCGTTACAAGTGGGTTTTTTTAACATTATCTAGTATAGTAAAATCGCAGGTTTGCCGACCCCTGCATAGTCGAGCCGCAGGTTGCCGACCCCTGGTTTAGTGCATTATTAAGCACTCTATTTAGTTAGTATGAAGACCATTTATTTCGATCACAGTCGATCTTCCCACTGTAGCATCATGTACAGATATAAATTCCTCCTTCATTGATTTATTCCAGGAGTAATTAGGTCACCACTAGGGTTTCTCATTTCCCGGGAAATTTGCCTTCAGCGGGATTACGGGAAAAATAATTTCTTTTCCCGGGATCCCGGAAAATTCCGGGATGAGATAGTAAAATAGAATTTTATATGGATAAAAAAGATCATACAGGAATATCATAAATTTGAATAATTTAATTTACTTTCTAGTAACTAAAAGTGTAGGGTCAATCTCACCTATTCGGACACGTTAGGCTCAATTAATTTATGTTCTCCTACATTATAAGATGAAAGTAAAATAAAGCGTTTCATGGGAGTTTTAATGATTACGAAAAAAATACTATTTTACTTCTAAAGATGAAATAAAAAATAAACTAAAGAGCGATGAGTAATACTTACTTTCAGCGAGTGCTCCGCTGTTCAATGATGCGCAAACACAATACATAGATATTACATGAACTAACTATTGTAAAACATAGGTAATAATATGCAGCATGAAACCTCAAAATTTCTCTCTTAGGTGAGTCTTCAAGATGCAACTTTTCGTATAATACATAATAGAAAGAAAACCTGACATGATAAATTAATATTGAAATGCAAGATTTCCCGGGATTTTTCTCGTAGGGAATAAACGGCGGGAATCCCGGGAAAACGGGATTCCGGGAAAGAAACCCTAGTCACCACGTGTTCAAACAAATGCCAAATTCGCGGAGTATTATCGGATAATTTCGGATTATCAAGTAACTTTCTGAGAGTGCAGTTTTCGGACATTTCCTATTACCGGATGTCGGATTAGGAATTTTTACTAATGTGACGGTCCATAACCCTTTTGTTTTAGAACAGTATCACCCCTCTAAGCAATTATCTTAATGGACTTCGTGGGTGTTCTTAGCTCCAGGTGTCTTTGCCAGTAACATCATTAGTAAAAGTTTGATTGACATTGTTGAAACAAAGGAACCAGTTTTAGCTACTGCACACCTCACGTGACTTGTTAGTAACAGCATTTCATTTGTGTTTTTACAACAGTGGCGACGTTTCTGTAGAGTGACGTTCGTGACACAGTGAGTTGGCTATCGAGAGTTTACGGAGTTCCTTCGATACTGTAGTTGTCTGCGATTGAAGAAGTTCGTTAGGATTTTAATCTGTTATTTAGGAGTTAAATATGGATCGGAAGATGGCAGATTGCGCTATATCGGCCGCCGAGCAGGATAACGGCCTATCACAGAAGGTAAGTGCTCAAGCCTAAACTTGAGTTTTCGTGCACTATGCGTATTTTAGATATTAAATCGGATCGTATTTACGGAATTTCGGGTTAGAGTAAAGGAAAAGGTATCCAGCTAAAAAAAGGTCTTAAACTTAATATTAACGAATAGACATAGACATATCTAGATGTAATTTGACACGCTGAATCGATTGGTGTTAAAAAAATTTACTTACGATCAACCGTTTAAAAGTTACGAACGATTTTTTATTTCCGGCTATTTGCTTCGTTTAAGAACAACTTTATTAAGAAATACGCAGGCACTCATCGATATTAACAAAACGAGTTACTTTAATTCACCATAATACATTCCATCTACGAGAGAAAGCGACATTAAAAATGCTAAAATGGTGTCGTTAGCCAGCGAACACGCGTACACACGACAAGAGCGTAGGGACAACTGACGCAGGGAAATTTTCCCTGACTGGTGGGGAACTGTCGAGCGTGACGTCACTTCCACAATTCCCTACACACACGTGAGC